GATCATCCACAAGGGTGACCTTCCAGCTTCCTCTTGTTGGCATCCTAGACAATACATATAGTGTGAATTGTTAGACATTGCATTTACCAGTTAAAATATCTCATATGCTTCTCTACACATAATACATTACCAGAGAAAGGCTGTTGAAGAGTTTCCTGAGAGTCGGATGAGCATGTAGAGATCACCGTGAAATTACCAGCATCATTAGTGTGGGTGGCAGCTGTACCATACTTGTACCTGTCAGAAAAAAAACAATAGCACATTGTATAGCTTTGAAATACTGTATAGTATTTCAAATATATAGATGCTAAAGAAAGCACACTTTCTTCGTTAACTCCTTAATGTGAATACACCGAGTATAAGTATGCCTTACTTTATTCAAAACTCACCGGCCCATAATTAAATGAGGTGAAGCCATTAGCAGTGTTCCTATACCCATCAGCAGAACCCCTGCTCCAATGATCTTGGGCCTGTGAAACTTAGCGCCAACATAGCTTACCAAGGTAATGACCAGCATATTACCTGCAAGCAAAATTACTTTCATTTATTTTTCAACAATTTAATTTAAGCATTTTCTGCTACAATATAAATTAGTTAAAAATGTTTAAGCACAACGCTATGATTTTGTGTGTTCAGCTTGATGACCTCTAGAGGTTAAGGGGCTGGGCTTGTAGACAGAGCGAAGTGGACGGATGTAACGTTAGCGTGATCAAATCAGGAACAAAAAAAGTGCGGATCCAAGTGCAGGTTTATTTACAATCGTGCAGCAAACAGAAAAACAAGGTGTCCGGTATTCAAAAAATAACAAAGTAACAAATAAACAGCAAAACAAGAAACTATGACAGAAACAGGAACAAGACTAAGGTAACAACAAACTCAATATACAAGACTGACTGAGCAAACGACAAACGACGCGATGACAGTGGTTGAATGACTGAATATATAGTCCAGGTAATCACGGAGAATGGAGGCAGCTGTGGTTGTAAATCAGTGGAGATGACAGACCGGGTGTGTGCGCGAAAGAATGTATGGAA